AAGGGCGAACACAAGGTACATGGCCCTGCTTTGCCACCTTTCAATGCAAGAACCATTACTCTGCTGTGGAAGGTTCGCAAACAATGTCGGAGAAAGTGTGGCCCTATACAGCTTCTATTTATTTTTGGCTTGAGGGTTTAGGGTTTAGGGTTTAGGGTTTAGGGAGTTTAGGGTTTAGGGTTTAGGGTTTAGGGCTTAGGGTTTAAAGTTTCGGGGTTTGGGTTTAGGGTTTAGGGTAAAAAACATTAACTCAACCCTAAGCCCTAAACCCTAACACCAAAAGCCTCAAAAAGCATTAAAACCCCACAGCCAAACACACCCCAAACGCCCCTAAACCCTCAGTCCTGGTGGCCGTGTGAAGAAATTAAGGGTTTAGGGTTTAGGGTTTAGGGTTTAGGGAAACTGGTCCGTCGGAAGGAGCCCTTGGCCTTTCTTGGGGGCCTTCCATGATCCCCAGACTAAGCCCTAAAGCCCTAAGCCCTACGACCTAAACCCTCAGGCCTAGCAGCCTACCCAAACCCTTAAAGTCGAAAAGTCCGAACGAGCCGACCGTATCTAAACCCGAAGCCTTCATGCCTCTAGGGTTTCGGGTTTAGGGCTTAGGGGTTTCGGGCTTGGGGTTTAGAGTTTAGGGTCTAGGGCTTAGGGGTTTAAGGGCTTAGGGTTTGGGGTTTAGGGTTTAGGGTTTAGGGTGATTGCCAAGGCTTTTGTGAGGGAGAGGCTTTGAACGAAGGGGTGTAAACCCCAAACCCTAAACCCTAAACCCTAAACCCTAAACCCAAGCCCTCAACCCAAAAGCTTAAACCTCTGAAGCCCATACCCACGAAACCTCAACCTTAAGCACGGCCCCAAGCCCTCAACCCTACCCCCCTCGGGGGATCCTCGTAGGGATCCTTCAAGGGATCCCTTCACCCCACAGCCCACCCCATAGTAACCTTAAAGGGAACCCTAGGATAGAAACCTTTAGCACCCTTTTGAGGGGTCCGTTGAACCCTAAACCCTAAACCCTAAACCCTAAAGCCCTTAACCCTACACCCCTAAAACCCTAAACCCCAAACCCCAAACCCCGAAACCCCCAAAGCCTAAACCCCTAAACCCCAAACCCTGAACCCTCCTTTAAAGGGTGCTTTTAAGAGAGCCGGCAGCCCCGTGAGCTTCTCTGAGGTGCGGACGGCTCTGTCCGACTTTTCGCAGAGGACGGCTCGCTGCTTCTCAGCTTCCAGGCGGCGCTGGGCTGGGCGTTTTTGCGAAAGGTCCCAAAGGTTTAGGCTTTGGGGTTTGGGGTTTAGAGTTTAGGGTTTGGAGCTTAGAGCTTAGGGTTTGGAGCTTAGGGTTTAGGNNTTTGGGTTTTGGAGTTTAGGGTTCAGTGTTAATTGACGGGTTCTTTTGAGTCTTATGTGGCTGGCGGGCTGACTGGCTATTTGGTCAGTTTGTTTGCCTGAGGTTTGGGAAGGTTCGGGCCTAAACCCTAAACCCT